TGCCCATATTTCTTTAATGTCATTTGTATTGACTCCTTCTTTCTCATTGATGTCTATTAGTCTCACATTGTTCATCTTTGCATCATCTTGCAGGTGATGGATTATTTTTTCCTGCATCCTAGTTGTTTTTAAGAGATCCTTTCTTACCTTTTCACTAGCTACACCAGCATCTTCAAGATCTGAAACTCTGTCTTCACTTTCACTTAAATGGTTTTGCAAGCTTGTGATTGAGATTTTAATTTCCTCTATATCTGTTTGACTCTGCTTCATGCGATCTATTTCTTTCCTATATTGCACATTCAAGGAATCCGTCATTTTTCTAATCTCCTCTATTTTTTTTTATAGATGTGTTCTTTAGAAGCCGTTATAAATTCTTTTACTGCAGTGTTTTTTTCAGATTGGGTTTCCTCCCTATGTTTCTGTAGTTGATTCTTTACTTGAGATGCTAGGAGTTTTGAGAATTCTTTTTTTATTTCAGAAAAGAATTCTGCTCTGAGTTCCTCTATAACTTTCTGCTGTTGCTTATTTACTATCGACACTATTAATTTGCACATTTGAGCTGAGCTAGTAGAAAAGAATTCTGCACTGAGTTCCCCTATGACTTTCTGCTGTTGCTTATTTACTATCGACGCTATTAATTCATACACTTGAGCTGAGCTAGTGTCCGCTGCACTTGTTCTGGGTGGGCATTGGGTTTCCTCCATATGTTTCTGCATTTGATTCTTTACTACAGATGTTATTAATTCAGGGATTTCTTATATCATTTCCAATTTGAGTTCCTCTATACCTTTCTGAAACTGTTTCTTTATTTCAGAAGCCATTGATTCATTGCTTTCAGCTGTGTGATTCCCAATTTGTTCTGTATTAGTGTCCTCTGCAGTTGTTATGGGTGGGCTTGGGTTCTGAGATTGCATTTTGCTCCTTCTCATTGTCATTTTGTGCAGCACTGTCTTCTGACCTTTGTTGTAGATCTTTGTTGCAGCTATAACCTTATCACCTACTGAAGTTCAGGTGCAGATCTACAAAATTTGGATTTATCCAGCTGTGCCTGGCTTGGGTCTGGCTGCTGTGCTCAGCTCCTTCCTGCTGCTGCCCTTGGGGGTGAACCTGTTGAGCCCCTCTGGCAAGATTTTCTGCTCCTGGACTAGCTGGGTGGTCCTGTCCCCTGTACTCTCTGCAGGTATTGCAGCTGCAGGGTTTAACCACAGGCCTGTATGCCAGACCTGAGCTGAGTCTGGAGGGGACAAGGTAGAGTAGGGGTAGAGGCAGCTCTCCCACACACTCACCAGGCTTGGACTAGGACTGGATCTGGGGGTTCCCGGAATGCGACAGAAATTCCTACTCTGTGGCGGGGTGTGTGTGGGGGGTACTACGGAGTGATGGGGGCATCCCAAGAGGGTGAAAGAGGGTGTCACCCATGCTGCACCTGGGCTGGGACCAGTAGGTCATGCCTGCACAGGGTAGCCAGAAGCTCTCCCACACAGTCACTGGGCCTGGGCTAGGACTGGGTCTGGGGGTTCCTGGAATGCAGCAGAAATTCCTACTCGGTGGGCGGGAGTAGGGGAGGTGCTGCGGAGTGGTGGGGGGTGTCCCAAGGGGGTGGAAGAGGGTCTCACTCACGCTGCACCTGGACTGGAACCAGTAGGTCCCGGCAGCGCAGGGTAGCCGGAAGCTCTCCCACACACTCACCGGGCCTGGGCTAAGACTGGGGCAAGGCCTTTTCTTATAGGTTTCATTGCTGGGAAGTAAAATCCCACAGGCCTCTCTCAGCTCCCACCTGCCAGGCTTCTGTGAGTACGTCACTGGTCCCCCAACTCAGACTTCTGAGGTTCTGCTTCATTGTTTATACCTCCACTACGTTGCTCACTGTGCTGCTCAATACCCTGCAGGTGCTCAAGAAGAGGACATTGCATGGGTTGCCAAGCACAGCTGGAAAGGACCGCCTCCCCTTTCTGGCTTTCCTATACCCCACTGGTATCCATGGATAGTTCCCAACTTGCCTGTGGCCTGTCCACTCTCCAAGCAGCTGTCATTTCCTGCCTCCACCCATTTGTGGCAAAACTGCGTGGCCTGGGTCCCATCCCACAGAATTTTCACTCAGTGCACTCATTCCAGCACTCATGCACACTGGGGCATGTGTTACCCTTCCCAGGGGTATGGAGCCCTGGCCAGCAACAGCTATGCTCTGGAAGGCTCTCTCTCTCTCTCTCTCTCTCTCTCTCTCTCTCTCTCTCTCTCTCTCTCTTTCTTCCCTACTATTCTTCTCTTTCCTTTCCTTCCTTTGTTCCCACTCCCCTTTCTCTACTCTTTCTTCTTTCCTTTCTTCCTTGTATCTTTCGGTATTTATTAAAACCCATTATACACCTGGCATTAGAGGCCAGTTGTGCCTATAGGACCTGATCTCTCTCCTGGAGATGTCTACTATTAGAGGCTCAGCAATATGCAAATACACAGTTGCATCCTGGATAAGCAAAGTTAAGATGGTGAATCCCATCCTAGGCAGATGTGGGAAGCCCAGAGGGCAGGATTTCACAGAACAGGCTGGCAGATGCCTGGCCACCTCCAGCATCCAGAGCCCAGCCAGGAAAGTCAGGGCTGGAAATAAGACCAAACTCAGTACCATAGCACCCTCCGCTGCCCAGGTGCTGCAAAAGCAGGGAAGTCTCAGAGACTGATTTGTTTGTTTGATTGGTTTTTGAGACTCTGCAGTCCAGGCTGCCCTAAATTTTCTTTCTTTCTTTTTTCTTTTTTTTAATATAACTTTATTTATTTAGTGTGTGTGTGGCCAGTTCAGCCCACCAGGGGGCGGGGCTGGCTGGCATGTGGTGCTGGGGATTGAACCGCCGTCTCTGCTTTTGCTTAGCTTAGCTTGTTCTAAGGAGGTGCTTTAGACCACTGAACCATCTCACCAGCCCCTGCCCTAAATTTTCAGTAACCCTCCTGCCTCAGTCGTCTGAGTGTTGGGTTACAGATGTGTACCACTTCTCAGGGCTGAGACTGCTTACTTTTTGGCTAGGAAGAAAGTAAGCAGCTGGTCTCACAGCTGTGGAGGCCAACTGGAATGGTGGCAAGAACCTAACAGCCTCGAGACTCAGCCTTGGCATCAGATCAGCTCCCCTGTGGTTGCTTGGCTCTGGGACCTTGGGCTTGTTGCTCAGTCCTTCTGATCCTCAGTTCTTCCATAAGAAAGAAAAGGGGACTGCCCACACTCCCACAGGGGGTGAGAAGAGTGCCCAGTGCCTGGAGACTACTTTAAATATCAATTCTAGGGGCTGGGGAGATGGCTCAGTGGAATAAGTGCTTCCCTGGCAAATGCAAGGGCCTGAGCTCAACCCCTGGTTCTGAAAAAAAAAAAAAAAAAATCAATTCTATTTAAAAATGACCCAATCAGTGTAATGTTCTTAGAATTGGCCAGGAAGATAGTAAATGACAGTGAAGTAGTTTATATTCCTGGCACCTGCCATCTGCCGGAATTATTCCTGGATCCTGATGGGCCCAGAAATGCCAGTAGCAGTCATAATAAATAATGTAAGGTATGTAATAACGTTATTACTGGCATTTTTAGGCACTTTTTGGTCTAAGAAGATAGTTATAAAGTTCCTTAAATCCAATACTATCATATTGTACAGTAAGTGACTGGCATCCGTATATATTTAGTTGGTTTTTTTTTAAGACAAAGTTTTGCTATGTAATTCAGGTTGGCCTTGAACTCTCAGAGATCCTCCTGCTTCCGCTTCCTGAGTGCTGGGATTATTGGCATGTGCCACCAAGCCCGGTGATATCTATTTTTAATAAATATGAAGAAGAGTGATTTTATTAATTTGGGGTAACATCTCTTCCCACAAAGAATCTTAGCTTTTGTCAGTTTTTGGTTGTTTCTTGCTTCTCTCCATTGGCTTCGAGGCTGTGCCACATTATTTCATTAGGATCAACAAGAGTGCTCCAGGGTGGTGACAAAGTCCAATTTTGTGGCTCAGGACTGAGAAGTTTCCTGGAATGTTGGAGTGTTGAAACTGGGACAAAGTGGGAAAACTAGCCAGTCACATTTACATCTCTCCACCCTGCTAGTACAGAAACTTATTCCCAGGAGACAAGATGGGCACAACCCCAGTGAGGGGCTAAAGGCTGAATGCTGTAGGTGTAACTTCTGGTTTTGGCACTACATGGCTGTGTGACTTCAGGGGGTCACTGTAAAGGTAATTTTTAACTGATAGCTAGACACCAGATTCCAGGATGGGCCGAACAAACCAGCCTGTTCTCATAATTAGAGACCAACAAAGCTCAGCTAGCCTTGGTGTTCCAGCACCACCCGCAACTTTGAAGAGTCAAGCAGTGTCTCTCATTCTGTTAGCTTGTTTCAAGGATTTATCCCTTAGAGATGGACTGGCCTGGTCTGTGACAATGGCTGGTTCTTTCTGCTCACCCCAGCCTTTGCCTTCTCTGCTGTATGATGAGAGAGACTCCCAATTAACCCACTCAAAGTAAAACTGCCTGTTATGAGCAAATGTATGGAACCAATCACAGAGTACCCTACTGCTTGCCTTTTGTAATGCCTTCTAACAACCTATAGAAGTACTGTAAAACCCCAGGACATGGCTGATGATTTGGAACTGAGATTCCATCAGCCCACTAGCATAATGAAATTGTATGTTTCCAGAGTCATTTGGAACAGACCAGATGATCTGTTTTGCCGTCTGCAACACCACAACCTTTCTGAACTTTAAAGCTGGATGGTTATCAGTATTGAGATAAGAGGCCTGGGGTGGGGGAGTGGAGAAAAAGATGGACAGGAGAAGAGAGGAGAGGAGAGGACAGCAGCGCAGAGCAGAAGCATCCTGGCAGTTTGTAGGGGCCCCTGAGCCCCATATACACTGGGTCCCTGTGCCACCCGGGGGTCTGTCCCACAGAACTCTCCCAGCTGCCCCCCCCTTCAAGTCTCCCATCCCAGGGCCCCTGCAGTCACCACCACTGAGGCTAATTAAGAAAAACACAACATCCAACTCCTTTACTTCTGAAGTCTGCTCCGCAAAGGGAAGCAGGAAACATAGGGCAGGGGGCTTAATAAAAAAAAATACTATAATTACTCAAATACTGACATCTGGGCCCTCTCTGAGCACTGTGAGCCCATTCCTGGCCTGCTATGTCCCCATGGAAACCCCACCTCACCCTGGGGTGCAGGGTGGCACCAGGTGGGCTTGGGGAGCCAGTGCTAGGACAGGTGTCACCACCGCAGAAAGTCCCTAATGAGCTTCCAGAGCTTGGTGACCCAGATGTTGGCCCCCAGGTCCATCAGGTACTGGATCTCGGGGGTGAGCATGCGCCGGCACAGCTGTTCGTGCCGCCGGCCGATGCTCTTCTTGAGGTTGTAGCCCAGGATGGACTTGGCACCCAGCGGCTGCCAGGGCTGCATGGCCGAGTCCTGGATGGCAGCCGCATCCACCGCCTGCCCGCCGTCTATGCAGATGCGCCGCATGCGCTCGTTGGCCCTGCGCAGGGCGGCCACCTCACGGGCCATGCGCTCGTGCCCGAAGGCCTCTACTTTGTGCCAGAAGCTGGCGTTGAAGTGGCGGTAGAGGCGTGCATCCAGCATGTTCCAGGCAGTGGCGCGGCGGTACAGCTCCCCGGACAGCCGCGGCACCGGGGAGTCGCGTCGCGCATTGAGCTTAAAGTACAGCACGTCCTCCAGCTCCCAGCAGAGCAGGTCCTTGAGCAGCACCAGGGACTCGTCAAAGTACTCCTGGAGGAGCACCAGGTGAAAGCGACGCTCCACCTCCAGGATGTGCTCCTCCACCTGCGGGCTGCTGGGGTCCAGACCGCTGTCGTAGCCCAGGTCGAAGAAGAGCAGGTTGCGGAGGTAGTGGGCGTTGTAGCCGTTGGGGTCATAGTATCGACCCGGGTCCTGCAGGAATTCGGCCAGCTTGTCCTGGCTTGACAGCTTCCACGTGAAGGGCACCAGGGACCCAAAGTAGTGGAAGGAGGACTCAAAGAGTCGGGCGGGGTCGCGCAGCACCGTGATGAAGGTGGCGTTGGGCCGCACCAGCCCGCGCACCTCCTGGTAGTGGAAGCGCATGTGGTTGCAGATGATGTTGAAGCAGGCCCCAGGCTGGTAATCCTGCACCAGGCTGCGCGCGAAGAAGGCCGGGTAGTCGAAGTCGTTGCGGCCACTGGGTAAGGCAAATTTGAGCCTGTGCTTCTGGCCGAAGCGGAACAGGATGTTGAGCAGAGTGCTGCTGGCTGTCTTGTGCGTCTTCATGAACACGATGTCCCTCTGGGGCTGGCACCCTCCTGCCGAGCCGTTGGTGGGGGTCACCAGCTCTGACTCAGTAGGGATGGGGGAGCAGGGCGCAGTGTCCTCTGGGGTCCTGCTGGGGACAGAGGAGGGGGGGAGCCTTGGTGGTGCTGGTCCTGGGACTCAGCACCCTGAGCCCCAGGATCTAGACACAGGGCTGTTGATGACAGTGGTGTTAGCAGAGTGGGGATGGGGCAGCCGATGGCCCTGAGTCCAGGAATGAGGCCTGAGGCAGGAATCTGGTCTCTCTGGCCTCAGTTCCCTCATCTGTGGAGGGGGAAAAGCACAGGCCTGGTTTGTGGGGCTGGCATGAGGTCAAAGTGAGTTGAGGAACCCAGGCTCTGTTGCATTCATGGCCTCTGTGTCATCTGTTTATTATAAAACAGTATTGGTTTGGGACATTAACATTGCATTTTGCAGACCAAAAACAGTGTCATTAGCCAGTTCCTTCCAGTTAAACTTAGCACCACCAACTCAAGGACCAATCTGTGCTAAGCAGCTCATGAGGAGGTCGGGTGACCTGATGTCTAGGAGCCTGAGCTGGCCTCCCAGAGGCCCCAGTTTGAATCCAGGCCCTGACAACTGAATATTCTCACACAAGTTACCCCGCCCTGCTGGAGCTAAATGATGATAATGCAAACCCTGGACGCAGGTTTTGTGCAACTTACTCATGGCACAAGGCAGGCTCTCTTACCCCCACTTTACAGACAGGCTCACCGAGGCCCAGGGTTCTACCACAAGCTTGGCCCTCAGCTATAAAGCTTCTGTCTGACAAAACGTGGTTCAAGGCACAGAGAGGTAGCCTATGAGGCAACTCCCATCATCAGGGCAGGTGCTTCTGTCATTGTGGGGCCTCCCCAACCCCACCTTTAGGTGCCTCATCCACCACTCACATGGAGGCTGGGCTGGCATGCAGCGGGGGCACAGCATAGGAATAGAGCAGTAGCAGAAAGCTGGTGAAGAGGGCACCCAGCACCAGCCCCTTGGCCATGGACTCCCAGCGCTTCTTCGGCTGTGGTGGCATCTCAGGCACCTGGAGGACAGCACAGAGTGGGTATGCGTTAAAGGCTGGTCAGACAAAGCTCAAGCTAGAAGCAGGGACCTGATTGTGCCAGCTCTGAGCCCCCCAGCAGGATCCAGACAGGGGCGAGAGACAGACGCCTGAAGGGAGACAGCCACAGAAACAGAAACACAAGGGTGTCCAGGCGCAAACCCAACACTCTGGAAGGCAGAGGTGGGAGGATCATAATTTTGGGCCCAGCCTGGGTCACTTAGCAAGACCATGTATCAAAGTAGAAAAATAATGTGTCTGAGATGTAGATCAGCACTGAGGCCCTGGGTTCAACCCCCAGTGCCCCCATACACACACATGCACACACACCCACACTCGAACTTGGGACCTTGCACTTGCCAGGCAGGTACTTAAGCTGCTGACGTAACTCCTTGGCCCCTAAATAACTCCTTGTGAGTTTGTGATCAGCCTGGGCTAGAAACTGAGCTCAAGGCCAGCCTGAACTGCATAGTGAGACCTTGTCTCAAAAAGATAATCAATCAATCAGTCAAGCCTATCCCAGTGCCCCACATCCCTGGAGTCCACAGGGGAAACTGAGGTTTAGGTAGGGTTGTTCAAGTAAATGTAAGTTTCAGGCAAACTGTGAATAAATATTGTGTTAGTTGCAGAAATCTATCCGAAATATTGTATGGGTTATACTTAGACTAAAAATCATTCAACCTTTGGTTTCTTTTTAAATTAAGTTTATCAGTGCAATTTACATATACATAATGACCACATTCATCACAGGGAACTTGTACCTGTACATGGTACAATTCACCTCCTTTTTCTCCCATTCTCCTCCCCTCTCTCTCTCTCTTTTTTTTTTTTTTTTTTCTCAGAACCGGGGATTGAACTCAGGCCCTTGTGCTTGCCAGGGAAGCGCTTATTCCACTGAGCCATCTCCCCAGCCTCTCCTCCCCTCTCTTTAGCCCCTCTTCAACTCTTTATTTACAAAGTCTGGCATCCATCTTATCCTTTTATTCTCCTTCCTTTTTCCTCTTACCCCTCTCCAGTTCCCCTTTCCTTTTGAAAAATTTCCTCCTGTTTCCCAATATCTATTATACATTTTAGTTCTTATTTACACTTCCAGTTTCTTTTAGGAGAGAGACAATGCAATATTCATATATATGTGTCCTATTTATTTCACTTAAGGTTATGGTCTCCCAGCCAGGGAAATAGCTCAGGGACTTAAGCCCTTGCCTGGGAAGCACAAGGTCCTGAGTTCAATCTCCATCAAAAAGTATGGTCTCGAGGTCTACAAGGGATCTATACATGCCTCAAGTTTATCCTTTTTATGGCTGAGTAGTACTCCATTGTATTTTTAAAAATGTATCTCTTTTATCCATTCATTGGTTGATGGGCATTTGATGGTTTGAAAGATTCCGCCATTGCAAACTATGCTGCTATGAACATGAGGGCACTGCATATATATCATTGTGATCGGATGCTTTTAATTCTTTTGAGAAGATGCCCAGAAGGGGCACAGCTGGGTCAAATGGTCTATCTACATTTTTACCAGAGTGTCTTGAGATGTTTGTTGTTTTTACTGGTTTGTTTATGGGGAGGTCTGGTCTGAACATGGTAACCTGATCCTCAGGAGACCGTGAATTGGACAGAAATGGGCACAGCTCAGGTTGAGGAACTAGAGCTCAGGGAAACTTTCCATTCCCATCCTGGCTCACATTCCTGATCCCCAGAGGTTGCAAGAAGTCACATCTGCTGTCCTGCGGCCACATGCAAGGCGTATCACCACTGTCCTGGTGAACTGCAGCTAGGTAGCCGCGCACACTAAGCCCAGGTTACCCAAGGCACCCCCACCTTGCCCTGAAGGGCCCCCAGAACACCCCGCCAGGTAGCACCTCTCAGAGCACATCCGCTGGAAAGTTCACGTTCTGAGAACAGACACAGAGAAACACTGTTCAGAGAAAGAAACCACAAGAGAGTATATGGCTGCTCCTGTGATGGTGAGCTACCCTCCGGAAGGTGGGCTGGGCCGGGTGGGCGAGGGTGAGGGCGGGTATTTCCCAAGGGCAGAAATGACCTCAGGAGGCCTCAGCAAGCAACCGTGACATGAAGGCCTTTTCCCGAAGGAGTCATCTGCAGATGTAAAAAAAATAAAATAAAAATTATGCCAACTACACCATGATCTATGTGTTTAAAAAAAGAAAATACTGGAACCACAGTGCTCCACTCCCCCCAGTCCATATATGTGTGTGTGCAAATAGACATGCCGTCCCAGAGAAAAGCAACTGGAGCCTGAGTGTCCTTGTTTTTTTTTTTTTTTTTTTTTTTTTTTTTTTCTTTGCAATGCCTGGGTTCTGAGGTATTTTAGATTTTTGAGTTTTGGATTTTGGAGTATTTATATATATGTAAAATGAATTTTTTTCTTTTGAGACAGGGTCTCTCTATGCAGTTCAGGTTGGCTTTGAACTCACTGTGTAGCCCAGGCTGGCCTTGAGCGTGTAGCAATCCACCTGCCTCAGCCTCTGCCTTCCTGAGCCTCCTGACTACTGGGATTACATGCTCATTCTGTATCTTAAGAGCTAGATTCCAAGTCTAAACAGGAATTCATTCATGTTTAGTATAGCTTATACACATAACCTAAAAGTAATTTTATACAATATTTTTAGTGTGTCTATCTTTATTTATTTATTTTTGTATTTAGGACAGGATGTACAGGGTCTCACTGCATAGATCGGACTTGTAGTCATCCTCCTGTTTACAGCCTCCCAAGTGCTGGGATTGCAGGCACGCACCACCATGCCCAGTCTCAATCACCATCTCAGTGTGCCCCTGGGGTGGGGCCGGTACAGCAGGCAGGGGGATAAAACTTCCAGCCCTGTGTCTGCCTAGGAAGGCACTTTAATCCTCTGAGCTATTTGGCCATCCCTAGTGTGTTTATATTTAGACTCACATGGACTGAGCTGTGGAATTTTCCACCTGCACCACCATGCTAGGTTCTGGCCCTAGTGTGAATTGCTGAATTATTATGGTGGTCATCCAATACGGCTGAAGCTCTTAAAACAACAGCTCATCTTCCCAGAGACCAGCTCCCCCTTCTTCTCCAACTCAGCCCAGGATGCAATTTCCTTGCACCTTTCCCGCCACCTCAGGGAAGACCCCAATCAACTCCTCAGGTATATCTAAACATCCCCCTCAAACTCCATCCCTGGCAAAGGCCATAAAAGCCTCAGCCTCCCTTTGTCCCAATCCAGAGGATTCCTTGTCTTCCCAAATTCTCTCCATGTCCTCTAAGGTAATGAAGCCCCTTTCCCTTTTTCCTTCTGCCTGTTTCTCTGCTGTGACACCGTCAAAACCTATCAGTTTTGGTGCTGTGACCTGGAACGGTGAGTAGTGTGGCTCCTGGGGCATGCTCTGCCCCAGTTTTGAGCTCCCTCACTGAACCTCCTTCTGCTTCTGCTTTTGCCTCTGTCACCTGCCGCTGCTAGTTTGTATCCAACACTGGACAATTTTAATCCACAGAGGTGAGCCCCAAAACTCGTCTTGGGGAATCCCGCCTCGTGTTTTCGTCTCGTCTCGAAAATCATGAGCTCACGTCGGGGTCCCCATTCATCTTCCTTGTCCATCTGGTCCTTGGCTCCCTGCTTTTCTAGTGGATAAAGTGAATGTTAGTCCTCTCACACTCACTCCAGGCTAAAAAGTGACGGCTTTTTAGTGAGAAGTGATGTCCAGCTTTTGCCCTAATCTTTGGCTCACCTTTTAATTCGGTTACCATGGGAAATACTTGTTCCCAGTCCCCAAAAGACACACCACTGGGATGCCTGATCCGTAATCTCAGCTCCCTCGGCCTCCAGAAGGCCATAAAACCTAAGCAATTAATCTTCTACTGTCAGACAGCTTGGCCACAATATAAGCTAGATGGTAAAACCCAGTGGCCTATAGAAAAAACTTTTGACCCACTAATTGTCCAAAGTTTAAAAAACTTCTGTCACTGCACCAGCAAATGGCAGGATAACACCTGTATTCAGGCTTTTTTTTTCTTTGAGGATGCATCCCTCATGTCCCTCCCTCCCTCCCTCCCTCCCTTCCTCAACATCTCTCACTCCACAGTTGCTTAAACCAAGGACAGCCCCCCCCCCCCTTCTAATTTACCCTCTAACTACTTTAACTTTCCGGGACTACAGAGATGCCTTACACTCTCTTTCCTCCCTGCCCCACCTTCTTCACTTCAGTCTACATTCCTTACAATCCTTGCCAACCCCACCCCCACCAATTTACAATCCAATCACAGTCCTTTTTTTTCCTCCAAAAATCTCACTCTATGGGGATCAAACTCAGGACCTTGTACTTTTTTTTGGGGGGGGCACTGGCTCAGAATGCCTTCAGGGCATGTTTGGCTAGCTGGAGTTGTGGGGATCGAACCACAGCAACCTGAGGCTGACTGCTTTGCTGAAGCAGCCACTTAAACAACTGAGCCAAGGGGCAGGCCCCAGGACCTTGTACTTGCCAGGCAGGCGTCTATGCCACTGAGCTATCTCCTCCACCTGACATAGCCCATTTTGTGTTGCTATAACAGAATACCACAGACTAAGTAAGTTATCTTTTTTTAAAAAAAAGTTATTTTTGACAGTTCTGTAGTCTGGGAGGCCCAACACCAAGGCGCTATCACCGGGAAAGAGTTTCTTGTTTCATCATACTGTGGTGGAAGGTAAGAGAATGACAGAGAACAGTAGACTGAACTTGTGGCCTTCCATCTTTTATAATCAGCACTAATCCAAACATGAGTGCAGAGCTGTCACAGCCTAGCCACTTCCAAAAGTCCCACTTCTTAACTGTGCCATGGGGATTACATTTTTAACCTATCCTTTTTTTTGGTGGGGACACATTCAAAGAAAGCAAAAATGTACTAAAATTGTTTGTCATAGTCTGATTTCTGTTACTGTATTATGATAGGTTATGGCTCTAGTAAGAATTGCTGAATTATGGTGGTCTTCTGATATGGCTGAAGCCCTTAAAGC